TAGGCTAACCCATATCAGCCCTTTTAATAATTTCTTGTTTCTATCTCAAAGCAATACCACGATATGAGTGCATTAAATTTATATGCAGAAGCACCTTGTTATTTCTAGGAATACAATGTATTAAGGGCAGGAGAAAAATGAAGTCAAAGAAGAATGAAAAGATGTTAACAATATATTTCTTCTTGACCCTGAGATTATGTTTAGGACAGGTTTCTATACAGGATAGCACTTGGTCACTGGTCAAGCAGAGACTTTCTTTTGCATCTTCCTCAATTTTAATTAAATGTTTAATTGTAGAAGTTTAATAGGATATTGGTTATTGAAAATTTTGCTGAAGTGTGAAAAGGTAGTTAAAAAAAATTTTTTTTTGTGTTTTAGTATAACTGATTAATGCGTACCAGGGTATAATATAGAAGTACAACCCTAGATGATTTAAAAATATTACTTTTAGCATACCTGCCACATGATGATTCTCTTTTCTTCTTTGATTTTGTGATTGTTAACCTCACTCTCCGATTCTTCTGAGCTTTAAACCTCCATGTCATCTTCAACTTTTCAGTCTTTCCTCTAATTACTGTGTTTCTTCAGTGATACCTATGTCAGATATTGTTGCTGTAACAAGTTACCATGGACTTGGTGGCTTAAAACAGCATACAATTATTATTTGACAGTTCTAGAGAGCAGTTGTCCACAATCAGTCTCATTGGAATAAACATAAGGATGATGACAGTGCTTGTTCCTTCTTGAGGTTCCAAGGCAAAACACATTTTACTGCCTTTTTCATCTTCTAGAAGCTTCCTGCACTCCATGACTTGTGGCCCCTTCCACCTTCAACAGCAGTGATATACAATGGAGTGGTTCTCACACTGCATCACTGTGCCACAGGTCTGCCTCCATGTTCCACATTTAAGGACCCTTGTGATTACGTTGGACCCGCCAAGATAATCCATGTTAAACTCTTTATTTCATGGTCATCTGATAGGCAACCTTAATTCCATCTACAGCATTAATTCTCTTTAGCTATTTAATATTCACAGGTTCTGGGATTTAGGATATGGATATCTTTGTGGGGGCATTATTCTGCCTATTCTAATACCTATCATATCCCTTTCTTCCTTTATCATGATCATGTGACTCTTATTTCAAGCCCACTTATTAGGGTCATTGCAATAACCTTTAGCTTTCTTTGTCTTTAGTTTTTCATCTTTTCAGACATCCTAATCTCTGTTGGCAGACTAATCTCCATGAAGCCCAGTGTAGAGTATTGTATCTCTTCTCCAAAACCTTCACTGGCAACCTTTTCAGTAAAGCAGGGCTCACCAAGCTCTTTGGATTATGTGATCCACCCTGGCGGTGTGGCTCTGTGGTTGAGCATTGACCCATGCGCCAAGAGGTCACCAGTTTGATTCCCAGTCAGGGCACATGCCCAGGTTGTGGGCCAAATCCCCAGTGGGGGGCACGCAGGAGGCGGCCAATCGATGTTCTCGCTCATCGATGTTTCTCTCTCTCTCTCCCTCTCCTTTCCTCTCTCTCTAAAATCAATAAAGAGAAAAATATATTATGTAATCTATGAAGACAAATATGTGTACCCATTAATGTGTTTTAATTTAATTATAATTTATGTTCCTATGCTATGATAGTAATATTTTATAAACTTGTAAACATACATAAAACAAATGACCAGGGGAAATGACCGAGGAAATGATGCCCTCTGTCAAGATTACTTTCAGAATTCATGTATATTCAAAATACGGGCCAAGGAGCCATGCCAATTACGTATTAAACAATTCAGGTCAGAAATAGATATCTTAATGTGCTTTTACTACCATTAATGAATTAATTGTTTTGTAAACCCCAATTTTTACACCTCTGTGTGAGAGAATAAAGCCCATATTCTCTTGTATGAAGTTCAAAACCTTCTGAGATCTCACTTCCATTTTTGACTAACCTGTGGTTTATCCTGTGCTTTTCCTGTTATACAATCTACACAGACTACCATTATGCTTTCTTTCCCTGATTTTACCTCATGTCGTTCTCAAAATTCCATCCATCCTTCAAGCCATAGGACCTGACTTATTGCGCCCAGCAAATGTTGGTTGAATGAAATCTCTTCTATTCATTTCTTTCTGTGAACTTTTCTTAATTTGTAATTACATATCCATTTATAGGGTGACCTGTTTGTCTCTAGATCAAGGTTCACAGAGGCATTTAGGAATTGTGACAGTTCTAGTTACCATCAAATAAATATTTGCACCTAGGTTGGTGACCAGTACAAAGTAGGTGCTCTATTATAGTCTATCAGATGGACAAGGGTCATATCACCCTGAAGCCTTCACTGAGTTCTCATTCCATTTGATCATAATTAACATTTCCTTCTCTATTTTCAATATCTGTAGTTTGAGCAGAGTAGGTACTCAATAATTATTGAATTAGAGTAAGATTCAATAAGTGGCTCAGGCTTTTTTATTGTGGCTGTATGTTTTTCCTTCCTTCCTTCCTTCCTTCCTTCCTTCCTTCCTTCCTTCCTTCCTTCCTTCCTTCCTTCCTTCCTTCCCTCCCTCCCTCCCTCCCTCTCTCCCTTCTTTCTCTCTCTCTCTCGTAATATTTGGCCCCGTGGTAAAGGCACAAGTGAAAATTTGATTGCTAAAGTGTGGAATAGTTGAGATGGAAAGTTATTTGGAAGGGTGCCTGATGCTGAACATCAAACCTTTAGTTGTTCACTTACCAAAATCATGCCTGTAAATGTTATTTCACAGCAACATGCAAATTGTGTCTGACTGTGCCCAGTAGAATGGTCCTTTATCTGAGTTCATTAGAAGCAGTTTAAAAACAAATTCCAGAGCCCAATAATACAACAGTTTTCTTCCTTTTTGATCTTCCCTCATTAGGGGGACAGGGTCAGGGTTGTATAATGTGCTGAAATCTGTCAATACTTTGTATTTCGTATTTAGTAAAACCTTCAGATGCTGTTTTTCTAGCATCTCCACTTACCAGGGAGGGCGGGGAAAAAAATACTACACAGGTGCTCTTGACTTGAAAAACAGCAATTTCATGCAACTCACAAGGGGAGAAGTTGGAAATTTTCAGATTCTGAAGTTGTCACTGGGAGATAAATTTGGGTACACATTCGTCTCTCCTAAACAGACTTTCTTTAACATAAATTCCTGCACTGCATGAGGCACCTGATTTCTCTAGGGGCTGACATGCTTCATGGAGCAATCATGCAGCGAAGAGATAGTGTGTATTTTCCAAGCCTTCTTCCAAATGTGCAAATATGAGCTGGAGGAGTCACATTCTGAGCTGCTAATATGGAATTCCAGCTTCCCTTGGCAGGAAGAAAAATTCTTATGGTAAATATTTGGCTTGATTGATGGGAAAGTGTCTGAATTTTGAGCAATCTAAACTCAGGCTTAAATGTTTCTGTAATACCATAAGAAGATTACTTGTCAAATAAACAATGAAGTACATTAAGTAACATACAAAAGAACTGCCTAGCACAGTGTTCGTTTTTGAAGCAGTAGCTATCAAAGCAAGGGGAAAGTTACAGAGATAGTTTCTGTAGCAGTGATTCTAAAAATGTGGTCTCCTGGCCAGTAGCACTAGCATTACGTGGAAGCTTACTAGATATGCACACCCCAGAACTATTTACTGAATCAGAAATTCTAGGGGTGCCCTGCCAGTGTGGCTCAGTGGATTGAGCATTGGTCCCATAGACTGAGAGGTTCCTGTTAGCTTTCTGGTCAGGGTACATGTGGATTGTGGGCTTGACCCCCAGTAGGGGGCGTGCAGGAGGCAGCCAATTGATGTTTCTCTATCACATCGATGTTTCTGTCTCTCTCCCCATCTAAGAAACCAATAAGAACATATTTTTAAAACAAGAAAAAAATTCTAGGGGTGAGGTCCAGCAATTTATGTTTCAGATGTGCTCCAAGTGATTCTGATCTTGATGTATGGTCAAGTTGGAGAAACATTGTTCTACCAGAATTTAATCTATTAATTCATTCAACAAACATTGATTGGCTATCTAATAAGTTCTAGGCACTCTTTTTGGGCACTGATAATACAGCAGTATGAACAAATGGTCAAACCCTCTCTTTCCATCCATAGTCTAGTGAGCAATCTGGGAAAGTCAACAGAAATGAGGAATTCATTAGGTTAAGTTCACCCATTGGAGCCTGCAAGTTGCACTTTTTAGTGATTATGGTGTTTGTGGCAAGCTTGGCAAAAGATAGTATGAGATTTTGGAACCAGACTTACTTCATTTGACAGTGTTAGCTGGTACTGTTCCTTTCATGGCCGGCTCTCCTGGGATGAGTTTTAAGATCTCTAGGTGCTTAGGATCCATGACTTACCAAAATGGACAGTTGAATTATTTATTAATCATCTTTCTGTGTTTGAAACTCTAGTCTGGGCATTGGAAATGAATTAATTGCATGATCCCAACATCTGGGCTCTTATTCCATAAAGGATTATTAGTGACCCAAATGCTATAAAGGACATACAATTGAGTAACAGTCATTTTTTTCTGATTATGAACAATTGGAGGAATAGCGAGTCCTGAGCATTTGATATTAGGTAGGCTGGAATCAGTGAAAATTTGTACCTTTTTTCTCCCATTGGTCTGTTTCCTTTCTTTCCATTTCCCCTCCATGCTATGGGTATTTACTGCCGCTTAGATCTACTCTTCCGTGCTGAGCCAAAAGCTCTGATTTATGTTTTCTCTGAACAAATAGATCTAATTCTGATTTCTCCTATGGTCTGTGTAAAATTTCACATTTTCTCCTTGAAATTTCTTGTTTGATGTGCACACATCTCAGTTTAATAGTAAAACATAACTCATGACTTTCCTATCAATATTCATCTTCCATCCTATGTTGAAAGGCACCCGCTGTACTGCCAGTTACCCGAACTGGAAGGCTTGGTCATCCTGACTTTCTACACTTTATGTTCCCTGTCAACTCGGTCAACACATGCTAGAAGTTTTTTTTTTTTTTTTTTAATTAAATATGGAACATTTCATGAATGTGCATGTAATCCTTGCTCAAGGGCCATGCTAATCTTCTCGGTGTCTTTCAAGTTTTAGCATCTACTGCCAAGATGGTCTCATTTGTATTTACCAATCCTACATGCCTAAATCTTTTAAGTTGTGTCATTCATATTTTATTAATCAACTATTTATTGAGTGCATGCTGTGTGCAGGGATGGAGCTAGGCTTGTACGTCTTCAGTGCACAGTTTATGACATCACAAGATCTCTGCTTTCAAGGAGGTTACATTGTAACAGGGAATCTGACAAGTACATAGGCAATTATGGTAAAATGTGGTAAAATTTCATCTCATCTGGAAACCATCCTGAACTCATAGAGATTACTCATTGGCCACTTAATCACATTACTAATTTTTAGCTGTTCTATAGATTTTGTTATTATGTGTTTTTCTTATTTCCTCTATTAGATTATAAACTCATGGGTAGAGAATATGTTTTATAATGCCTTATTGTCTCTAGCCCACACTATTTCATATAAAAAGTACATATTAAATACCTGAAAATTTATAAGAGAGTTATAGTTTACCTTTGGGAAGCTTCTTTATACACTGCATAACCATTTCTCTGTCCACGTAAAATACAGAAATATGGTAAGAAAGCTGAGATTTGTTTGTATTCAGTTTACATTGAATGATGGTTTTTAACACATGAATTGAATTACCTGTGTTACAGTATAATACATATTACAAAATGTTAGGTGCTTACACTTCAGATTTCTCCTGAAACAAAACACTCAATAAACCTTAAAAGTAAAAAAACACAGAATTGCATTTTCAAGCTTCTATAAAAATTATGAAATATATGCTAATAACCAGAAGCCAAGAGTAAAATATTATATTGTCAGGTTGTAAACCAGATTTTGATTTCTTAAAATAATGAGAATTCTATTAATATAGCAGGACTTATGAAGCCCTAATTGGATGAAGCAGGTATTTCTGATAGAGTAATTTTTAAAAGTAAATATAAATGAACAATAACTTTTCAATACACTCATCAATTAAAAAATTATTATTGCATTTTAATCTAACCCTGCCATATTCCCAGATATTGATTATAATACTTCCTGGTAAATCAACTTTACATAGTAACTTTCTTCTCTTTGCTTTTGATTTTTTTCTTTTTAATTTTTCTTTCTTTATTGATTTTAGAGAGAGAAGAAGGGAGAGGGAGAGATAGAAACATTGATGAGAAAGAACATTGATTGGCCGCCTCCTGCATGCCCCCCACTGGGGATTTGGCCAACAACCTGGTCATGTGCCTTGACTGGGAATCAAACCAGTGACCTCTTGGTGCATGGGTCGATGCTCAGCCACTGAGCCACACCAGCCGGGCTTGGTTTAATTTCTAAAAAATAACATATTATGTCATTATAGTTCTAATTTGTATTTCTCTGATGAGTGATGTTGAGTATCTTTACAATTATCTGTTGGCATCTTGGTGGAAATAGTTATTCAGGTATCAGTGGTATATTTTTTAAATTGCAAATTGTGATTAATTGTTGATGGAATATAGAAATATAATTTGTTTTTATATATTGATCTTTTATCTGCTCCTTAGTAAACTCATGTATTAGTTCTAACATCTTTGTAGATTTCATTGAATTTTCTATATCGACAATCGTGTCATCTATGAATAAAGAGTTTTATTAATTCCTTTGTTATCTTGATGCACTTATTTCTTTTCCTTCCTTATTGCACTGCCTAGAAACTCTAGTACAATGTTGAAGAGAATTGAATGGAAATAGTGAGAGTACACATCTTTGTCTTATTACTCATCTGCGGTGGAGAGCATTTTATTTGGTCTTTTACCATTAGGAATAATGTTAGCAGCAGATTGATTATTGGTAGTTGCTTTTTAACATACAAAGTTCCTTTTAATTTCTACTTCTGAGAATTTTAATCAGAAAATAATTGCTGGATTCTGTCAAATAATTTTTTTTGCATCAATTGATGTGATCATGTGATTTTTCTTTTTTTATACTGCTAATATGATAGAGGATATTGACTGATTTGTGACAGCATTGCATTTGGTCATTTGTATTATTCTTTTTATATATTGTGGGATTTGATATACTAATGTGTTGAGGATTTTTGCATCTATGATCATGAAAGATACTGGTCTGCAATTACCTTTTTTTGGTAATGTCTCCCAGAATTTGTTATCAGGGGAATACTGGCCTTATAATGTGAGTTGGAAAGTCTTATTTCTTGTTTAATTTTTGGATAGTTTTATGTAGAATTTGTACTGTTTTTTCCTTAATTGCTTAGTACAATTCACCAGAGTATCTGTGGCTGGTCTTTACTTTCTGCATAGATTTTTAACTGTAGATAAAATTTCTTTAATAGATACAGGGTTATTGAAGTCATCAATTTCTTCTTGAGTGAACTTACTTTGTTTTTGTTATTTTGTGTCTTTCAAGGAACTTGCCCAACTAATCTGTTTTCACATTTATTCCATAAAGTTGTTCATATTTCTTTATTGTTTTTCAATAACTTCATTGAGATACAATTAACATACCATACAATTCACATACTTAAAGGGTGTTAGTTAATGATTTTTAGTATCTTCACAGGATTTTAAAACTATCTCCACCATATAATTTCAGAACAGTTTTTGTTTGCCTTTAAAGAAACTTCTTACCTATTAATGTTACTCCTATTCTCCTCTTCGTGACAGCTCTGAGCAACCTTCATCTATGTTCTGTCTCTTGCTTATTCTAGATGTTTCATATAAATGGAGTAATAAAATATGCGATATTTTGAGACTGACTTATTTTACTCAGAATACTGTTTCACATTCTAGCATGCATAAGTACTTAATTCCTTTTATGACCAAATAATATTCTATTATATGGTTATACCATATTTTATTTATCCATTCATCATTTAATGTCTATCTGGGTTATTTCCACTTGTTGACTATTATGAATAAAGTTGCTATGGACATTCATGTGCACATTTTTTGTGCAGACATGGGTTTTCATTTCTTTTCAGTCTATGTCTGGGAGATCTAGGAATGGAGTTATAGGTCATATGTTAACTCTATGCTTAACTTTTGAGGAACTACCAAAACTATTTTTCATAGTGGCCAAACTATTTTACATTCCCAAGAGCAATGTATGATGGTTCTCTTTTTTCCACATCCTCACTAATGTGTTATTTATTGTTTGTTGTTAGTGGGTGTGAAGTGGTATCTCATTGTAGTTTTTATTTGCATTTCCCTGGTACCTAATGTTGCTGAGCACCTTTTTATGTATATATTGGCCATATGTATATCCTTTGGGAAAACTGACTATTCAAATTGTTTCCCCATTTGAAACTGTTTTTATTTTGTCTTTTTATGTTGAGTTGTAAGAGTTCTTCACATATGTTAGATGCAAATTCCTTATTAGATACACTATTTACAAGTGTTTTCTCTGATTCTATAGGTTGTCTTCTGACTTTTTGATGGTATTAATTGTGGTAAAATATTTAAATTTGATACAATCTAATTTAAATATTTTTTTCTCCTGTAACTTTTCTTAGTATTCTTTTATGTTTGTAGAGTCTATAATAATGTCCCTGTCTCAATTCTAATACAGTAAATTTGTGTTTTCTTTCTTTTTTACCTAGTCTGCCTGGTTAGATGTTTATCAATGTTATTGATTTCAAAAAATAAATATTTAATTTCACTGATTTGTTTTTTCTTATTTTAAAAATTTCAGCACTAATTTTGTTTTAACTCTCATTCGAGGATAGTTTTTCATTGATTTTTAGATAGAGTGGATGGGAGGGAGGGAGAGAGAAAAACATCAACGTGAGAGAGACACATTGATTGGCTGTCTCCCACTTGACCCTGACCAGGGCCAGGGATAAAAGTGCAACCAAGGTACATGCCCTTGACCGGAATCGAACTCGCAGCAACTATTTGGTCTGTGAGCTGATGCTCTAACTGCTGAGCCAGGCCAGCCAGGGCTCTACACTAATCTTTATTACTTTCTTTATTCTTCTTACTTTGCATTTCATTTGCTCTTCTTATATTTTAGGGTGAAAACTGAGATCTTTGATTTGAAAACGTTTTACTTTGGTGCTTTTGATTTTCCCAAATGTACTGCTTTAGAGGTATCTGGAAATTTTGATATGCTGTGTGTTTATTTTCATTCACTTTAATATAATTTCAAATTATGGATTTCTTCTTTGATTCAATGGCTATTTAGAAGTATGTTATGTATTTTCCAAATATTTGAGTATTTTTCTAAGATCTTTTATTGATTTTCAGTCAATATTATTATGGTCAGGAAAAATATGTTGTACAACTTGAATAATTTTAAATTTATAATTTTTATGATGCAGAGTATGATATGTAGGTAAGTGTTCTGTGTGCACTTAAAAAGAATGTGCATTGTTCTGTAGCTGAGTGAACTGTTCTGTAAATGTCAATTAGGTTGAGTTGATTGTAGTGGTTTTTTTTTTGGTCTTCTATATCCTGACTGTTTTTCTGCGTATTTGTTGTATTAATTATTTAAGAAGGGTATCGAAATCTCCAACTAAAATTGTGGATATTTCTATTTCTTCTTACAACTTAGTTTTAATAGTGTATTTGGAAGCTCTCTTCTTAAGTGCAAAATTATCTAGCACATCAGGTTTTTCTGATGAATTCACCTCTTCATCTTTTGAAGTTAATGTCTTTATCCTAGGTAAAATCTTTTCTCTGGTCTCAAGTTTGTCCAATATTACAGACTCACTCGCCTTTCTTTTAATTAGAATTACCATGGTATAACTTTTTTTTTTTTTTGCTATTAGCATCTTCATATTTAAAATATATGTGCCATATAAAGAACATGATTGAGTTTTGCTTTTGTATTCAATCTGACAAAATTTGCCTTTTAATTAGTGTGTTTGGAACATTTATATTTGATGTGACTGTTGGTAAAGTTTATATCTACCATATTGCTATTGGTCCACCTTTTTTTCTTTGTTTTTTTTTTCTGCCTTCTTTTATAATAATTAAGTAGTATTTATGATGCCCTCTTGTCTTCTTTGCTCATTTGTTAGCTATGATTCCTTGTTTTATTACT